CTCCATCATCTGAAGTATTTGCGGTATTGCCTTGTGGATTGGAGTTTTTATTTAGACTCCAACAATCATTCTTCAAGTGACCCTTCTTTTCACAGTTGTAGCACTTCAAATTTTTCTTGCTCCTCGACTTTGATCTACCATGTTTGTGACTACTGTTTTGGTCATGTTCTGTTGATCTCCCTCTCATCGTTGTCAACGCTTATGCTTGTTGCAGATTTACTTGTCAGTTTTCCTTGTTCTTGCGTCGATTTTCTTCTTGTAGAACAACAGTTGCAACGTCATCGAAGACTAGACTGGTGACATTACTGTTTGTCAAGTTGATGATGAGTTGATCATACGAATCAGGTAGACTTTGAAGTAGAAGTTCAACACGTTCTTGTTCTTCTATTGTACATCTTAAGGATGTAAGCTGAGAAAATAAAGTGTTCAGCGTGTTTAAGTGCCCCGTCACTAAAGTAGATTCTGGCATACGGAGAGTGTACAATTTCCTCTTAAGGAAAATTTTATTATACAACGATGTGGCATCGTACAATTTGGTGAGATGATCTCATATCTCCTTAGCTGTCTTCTCCTCCTCGATGCTTGATAATACTTCATCTGCTAATGCTAGATGAAAATTTGCCATAGCATTCCCGTCTATTTTGATTATTTATTGTCATCTGTGAAATCTACCTGCCTTTCACTGATAGCTGCTAGACAACCGTATTTCCTCAAGATGGCCTTCATCTTCAATTTTCACAATGAGAAATTTCTCCCATTGAGTTTTTCAATATCCAATTTCGTTGTCATAGCTTTCTATTACGGATAGCTCCCACTATTTCACTATCGTGAATAGTTCTCTGGAACCTTCAAAGAATGGGTAATAACTTCTTACTTTCTTATGTTGGAGGTTCCACCTTTTGGTGGCAACCACAAAGACAATAAGCATATATTACACACTCTAATTTGGCTCTGATACCAATTGTTGCGGAAGACGGCTATCAGATAGAGCAAAATCGTAACTGATAATTTGAGAAAATAAAGATAAACGAAGACACAAATTTTACGTGGAAAACCCCTAAATTATATAAGGTAAAAACCACAGGCAACAGTAGAAGAATTTCACTATGAGAAAATAGGAATTACAACTTCTCTCGATCTACCAAGGAGAAAACAATGACAATTCTCTCTTGATAAAAAGGAGAAAACAACTCTCAAGAAACTCTCTAAATTCTCTAGTATTTGAAGAAATCTAGAATGCTTTGAGATAGTTTTGAAGCTAAATGAGCTAGGGTATTTATAGTTGAAGCTTAAGGACTAATTTGTAAATACCTTAAATTATAATGACTAAATTGTAATTATCTCTTAGCATAAAAATCAACATTTTCCAGCTAATTGTTGCCACTTGCACCGAAATTGCATGTGCATCGAAAGTGGCATGCAATTGTTGACGTTTCAACATCTACCATATCGAACCGGAACAAAATCGTTCAGTTCCAATTGATTTCCAATATAATGACTAGTTAGAGTGCCTGTATCATCAACCCACTCATCCCTCCAAAAATCATTTTTTGTGCCCTAACCAAGTAGCCAAATTATACCTTTTCTCACTTCCTCCCATACCATAACCAAGCCCGTCCAAATACGAGAATACCCATTCTGAAATATGGTAATCGACAATTCGTCAGTCATTTTATATTTGGCTCGTAAGACTTTCGTCCATAGTTGGTGCTTATCCATTTGCGAATGGAGTAAACTGGGTTGGGAGCGTCGCCCTCCTCTCTGTAATACTCGATATGTATTAATCAGTCAATAGATCGGATATCAATGATTAATTTTAAAAAAAAAATCATTCTGCGCCCCAATTTCTGAAGACCAAGCCCCCCTTTGAATGGAATGCACACTTATCCCAACACACTAAATTAATCCCTTTCGGAGAGTTCGTATACCCCCAGATAAAATTCCTCGTTAAATTCTCAATTTCCTCACTAATCGATTTTGGCAAACGATTAGTTTGCATTATGTATGACGGAATAAAATTTAACATAGACTGAACAATGTAAGCGAAAGTATCCTTGGTAACTCGCTTATGGAGAGAAGGAACACCCAAGTATCTTCTAAAGTCTTCAACTTGTGTAAATTGAAAACCTTCGCTAATATCGCTACGAAGGGTCTGATCCACGTTACTTGAGAAGCAAATATAAGTTTTAGCTTGGTTTACCCAGTGACTAGAACTATAGCCAGGGGCGTGGCTGAGGGTGTGCAATGTGCGCGACTGCGCAGGGCCCCAAAAAATAGGGGCCCCGAAATCGAGTCTATCTATCAGATGTTGCCATTAAGAAGCCCTAAATAATATGGGCCCAAAAAATAGGAGCCCCGAAATCAAGTATATCTATCAGTTGTTGCCATTAAGAAGCCCAAAAAATAGGGGCCCAAAAAAAAGTTTGAGATTTAAGGGCCCCATTATAAGAATTTGCACAGGGACTCCGACAATCTAACCACGGGCCTGACTATAGCATAAGTCATTGATCACTCATTGAACTACATCAAGCTGATCTAGTAATGCTTCGCCAAAGAGAACTAAATCATCAGCGGATAAAAGATGGGTTAACGGAGGGCTCCGAGTGATAACACAATGGGAATCCAATGTCCATAGTCCACCTCCTTGCGAATCGCCTGGCCCAAACGCTCCATACACAACACAAACAGGTAAGGCGAGAGAGGATCACCTTTCCGAATACCCCGATAAGGCTTAAATTCATCAAGTAAAGATCCATTCCACTGGACTTGGATGGTGCTAGTCGATACACAGTTCATAATTAATCGCCGAATATCACTCGGACACCCCATGTCCTGTAAAGTGTCATCAACGAACGACCATTCAAGGTGATTATATGCCTTTTCCAAGTCAATTTTGATAGACATCCATGCCTTCCTTCTTTTCGGACCAAATAAATAACTTATTGGGCAATTATTATATTCTCAGTAATGCTACGCCCCGAAACAAAACTTGTCTGATTTTCCGAAACCAGATTCGGCAAAAGAGTTTTTAGTCTGCTTGAACTTAACATTTTAAAAATAACAATAAATTCATTAACCACTAAAATCGTTTGATTAGTGATTTATTTATTATTATGATATTAATTTTTAAATTTTTATAAATTATATATTATTAAAAAAATTAATTAATTAACACATCACCGAACACATTAAATTACAATTCTTAGATACCTCTTCTAAAAATTATATATGAAGATGCCATAGGTACCCATATACTGATATACTCGCAAACTAAAAATTGCATTTGGAATGAATTTTGGGTTCATTTGCATTTGCTTGCTGATTGTACCTACCCTAGTCAGAATCTAACCCAAATATGACCCATCTGGCTTTTATTTAAACATACGGGGAACACTGCTCACCCACCTGCCTCTATTTCTCGGCTTTCATCTCTCCCTCTCCGTCACATGTAGGGCTGTAAATGAGACGAGACAGATTATGAGCTATTCGAGATCGATTTGATCAAGATTCGATAAATGCTCGAATCGAATGAATTCAACTCGAGCTTGACCTCGACTCGAGTTCTTAACGAGCCAAAACGAGCTACTCGATATTCGACTCAAAAAGCTTGTGAGCAGCTCGAAAAAAATATTATATTATAATTTTAGGTTTTTAAAAAATACATTATTGATAATTATAAAATTTTAAAAATATATTAAAAATTCTATAATACAACTACTCTCAAATTTTAATTTTTTTTAATTAATCAGCCCAAGTCTAATTGTTACATTGCATATTACTAAAAGAAAAATAAAAGCTCATTTAATTAATCATATGTTAGATTACACGTGTTTGGTTGATTTTTTCTTTCTTTTTTAACTTTTTACTGCACATGTACTTGGTAACGTAGAAAAATAAAATAAAAAATAAAAAAAAAACAACCAAACAATATTAAAATTGAAAATGGTTAAAAATTATTTTTAAATAAATATTCTTATATTTATTTTAAATTAATAAAAAATTATTTATTTAAAGATAAACATTTAATATATTTCTAATGATAATATTTTTAATAAATAATTTTTAAATTGTTGTTATATTTTGAGGTTCCGGGTTCAAATATCATAAATATCAAGGGTTTGAACATTTAATATCAATATATTATATTGTAATTACCTCATAACTAATTTTTTATTTCACAATAAATATAATAAATATAATATAATATAATAAAAATATGATTCAATTTAAATATTAATAATTTAAAATATATATATCAAAATAGAGTGTAACCGATTTTATAAAAAATTAAGAAAGAAAAAACTCATTTAGACTTATATTAATATCTTAATTAACAAAATTAATGATATCAAATCATATTTAAGAGAAAATGATCATCCCTACTACTAACATATACCATATAAAGTAAAACAAGACATATATATATATGCTTTACTAAATTCTACTTTGAAAAAAAAGTAATAATTGTATAGTTGGAAAATCAAAGCAGTAAATAAAGAGAAGACTGAGAAGAGAAGAGTAAAAATCAAAATGACTGAAGCTTCTTATTAGATTTTTGTTCTTCAGAAAACAAAACAAAAACAAGTCTACTCTCTCTCCTTTCACTAAATCATCTCATTCCTTCTAATTAAGTGATAGGGTTTAGGATTTAGGGTTTAAGATGTAGGATTTAGGATTTACAAATTTAACTAAGGACTAAATTTAAATAAAGTGAAAATTAAACACACAAATCAAGAGTTAAAATAGGGTTTAAAATAAAAAGCACGCATAAATATAAAGGACTTAAACTTAAATAATCCAAAAATTACAACTAAAACTAAAATTAGGAAAATAATAAAATCGGGACAAATATAAATGGATAAATTAAAAAAAGTCCTTACCAGTGACTAAAGTATAAATATACGGCTAAGTTTAGGGGTATGAGAGTTATTTACCCTACATTTAATATATAAAAACCTAATTATAAACTAAACCTAATATTAACTAAAACTATCATCTTCAGCCGTTTTGCTCTCTCCCTCTCTATTCTTTTCTTCTTCTTCCCACAACCGAGAGCCTCAAAGGCTAATCACATCGCCACTCGCACCATCGGCCACCATGACCGACGCTTGACCACCGCCCCAACGGCCTCCATATGCGAATGAAAACAACCCTTATGAAGCCTTAAGTTGCTGCCTTTCTCTTTGGCCGAGACCTCATCTACTCTCCACTCACACAAACGACGACTGTACACCAAGATCCCACAACTCGTCGATAACGCATATGGTGAAGGTAAGTATCACTCAAGCCTTTCCTTTTCTTCTTCAACCGAAAGCTTTGAAATCCTCTACACCGTTTCTCTCCTCTTTACTCTGGTGAAGATCCAAACACAACAAAGGTAAATAGATCTCTCTCTCATTTCTATTTCATTTTTATTTTAGAATCTGAACCGATGAACTAACCCCCAACTCCTATGCAAGGTTTCCCGAGCAACCTTCAATGCTTCGGTCTCAAGCCTGGTGGCTCAAATCGGTAAGCTCCTAATCCCTGTTTATTTCTGTTTTTATACTTGAAATCTCGATGGATGAAGACTAAACAAAAAAATCGATGTGCAAGAATTAGAAAAAAAAAACTCACAGCATTCTTCTGTTTGTATTAATAATAATAATAATAATAATAAATATTTATAATATTTTTCAAGTCCGGTCAAAAACGGGTGTCTAGAGATAATACGTTCTTTTGCACTTTGATGAATCCTTGAAAAGAAGACAGTGATGCATTTTCTGGGTTTTATGACTTGATTCATAAGTATAACTTAGTATACGATAATACGAATGATAGCCAAATTCAGTTTTCATATGTTTATTTCTTTTATATAATTTCTATCAGCAGGATCCAGCTGTGAGAGGGAAGGCATCTGGACAGTCTAAATTTAGAGGCCTATTTTCGAAGGTAAAGGAAACCCATGTTTACATAGTTTCTACTTTCTAGGGAATATGTCAAGGATTTGCAGTCTTTGTTGTTGAAGATAAATTCCATAGTGAGATTGTGGTGATCAACCTAGAAACAAAATTCTTTTTCTGATGCTGATAGGTTTAGCAGTTAACTTGGGTGTGTCGAGGTTTAGGATGAATAACTTCAGAAAGAATAGGTTGCTTGCTATATTGTTGTGATTTGGTCATCTCGAGTTTCGCCTTTTAGCATTGCTCCAACATTGGGAAAACTGGAAAGTTTTCTTATATTAAATACTTGCTTCTTGAATATGTACCATGAATAAATTTTCAGAATGTTCCAAGCGCTCCACCCACATCAAACTCAAGGCTTTCACCACTACCTCCAGAACCTGCTGGTTTTAATTACGGTCGTGAGGCAGCAATCGACATTCCTCTGGATACAGCTTCAGGAGGATCATCTCAGGTTATACAAGATTGAAAACTTGTCTCTGTACTGTTTTGATTGTTTTGGTTAAGCGCTTGATCTCGCTGTTATGGTTTTACTGCATAAATCTAGGATTTGAAAAAGAAAGAGAATGAACTCCAAGCTAAGGAGGCTGAACTGAATAGGCGGGAGTAGGTATATTGTGGAAAGAAAATTTTGAACTTCTAATTCATTCTTATTTTACAGATCATAGGTTTATTTCTGTTCATGCATATATGTTTCATAAAAAAATGGCAAGAACATTATTTGTTTTCTGCCCTTTGGCACCCTATGAATCATTTGATCCCTACAATTTTCGCTGATCAGCTTATTCCATACAGGAAGTGAGACGAAAAGAAGAGGCAGCAACAAGAGTACCTTTCATTATATACTATTCACATTGAAAACATTAGTTGTTCATTGTTTCAAGTTTTGTTAAACATAACATTTTTTTGTAAATTTTTTTTGACTTGATTCTTTTTTTTACCGTGAGCTAGATTTTGACTTCTCCATTTTGCAGCTGGAATTGTTTTGGAAGAGAAAAATTAGCCATCAAAACATATATTAATTATCCTAAATTTCTTGTAATTGTATTTTTATTTTTTAGATTTTTTATAGTTCATACATTCATATTATAATGTATTGGTGATGGTTGATTAAAGAGAAAATTATTTATATATTTTAAATGTAATATAAGTTTTTTTGTAGGTTCAAATTCGAGTTTTGAGTTCGAGCTTGAATCGAGCTTGAATCGAGCTCGAGTCTCGAGCTTCAATCGAGCTCCTGAATTTTTTTTGAGTTCGAGCCTTTTCGAGTTCGAGTCGAGTTTCAATAATATATTTCGAGTTTGAGCTGAGTTTTATAATTTTTAGCTCACGAGTTTTCGAGTCGAGCCTAAATTTAAAGTTTTCGAGTTCGAGTCGAGCTCAGCAATACTCGAGCTCGATTGGACTCGTTTACACCCCTAGTCACATGACATGATAAAAGCATCTCTTTTTCTCTCTAAAAAATTTCCTTTCCAGATTTTAATGTGAAAGATAAAAAGTATTTTTTTTAGTTTTGTTGGTTTCTTTGTTTTTCTTGTTATGTTATTTGATGGAAACTGTGTTAAAGAAGCACAAAAATGGCGGCGAAGTTAAGACGGGACAGTGATTACTGCTCTTTTCTTGTAAAATGTTACAACTTTGGACAATTTGGTTCTTGTTTGAGTTTCAGTCTTAGTTGAATCCCTTTATCAACAATGTTCATCGACAATTTTTAAAGAAAAAGATCTGACACCCAAAAAAAAAAGTAAAAAAAATTGTTCATTTCGTTATCAAAGTTCATCGTCAAGTTCGTCGTAGACATGAAGTGATCTGGAAGCTCAGATTCTTTGGGTGCTTTGATGGCTCTTTGCCCAACGTCAGGTCTAATAAAACAAATATATATATTTTATTTGAAGACAACAATCTTTGATGTTCATCAGTGTCGTAATCGTTGATTATGTTTTGATTTTGGTTCAGATGAAGATAGTCCCGGAAACAGCAACAATGTTTACAGTAGGGAGTTTCAGTCGACGTTGGATGGATTAGATGAAGAAAGTTGTTTGGAGGAATTGGCGGTCGGCAATGGCGGCGACGGGAAGAAGAGACGATTAAGTGTAGATCAAGTGAAGGCATTGGAAAAGAATTTCGAAGTAGAAAACAAGGTCGAACCCGACAGGAAAATGAAACTCGCTCAAGAACTCGGTTTGCAACCACGACAAGTTGCTGTCTGGTTCCAGAATCGACGTGCTAGATGGAAGACCAAGCAATTGTAGAGAGATTACGGTGTTCTCAAAACTAGTTATGAATCTCTTAAACTCAATTACCATACCCTCCTTCACGAAAATGAAGCTCTTCTCAAACAGGTAAATTGATGATAATCGATTGATTTATCATAGTAAGCTAGTAATTTGTAAGCAAAGTTGAAGGTCTGAAAATGGTGCAGATTAATGAACTGAAGGAAAAGATTAACGAGCATACGCTGGCGGGACTGAACTGTGGCAGCGGGTCTGTAACACCCCCAACCCATATCCGACCCGGATACGAGTCCGAAGTATCACATTGACTTTTCAAACCTTGACTCTTAAGAAAAATCCCGGGAAATTTAAAACTTTATTTAAATCAAAATAAAGACTTTATCAGAGTGCTCGTACTTAATGACTTATTACATGTCAACACTTTATACATAACCAAATACATACTTTGTCAATATTTTGATTTGATTTGGTAAGGAAACTGACCTGTCTTGCTCCGCATCACTCTTTACTCTTCTCGAAACCTACGTGTGAAACAATCACACGCTAAGTCGAGATTAGTGAGGCATAACAACTTATAATGCACTTTAAAACATATATTGATACATGCATGTTCTGTTCTATCATGTTATACCAATCCCATGCATTTTTCATATCGTATAAAATCATATCAGATTAATTGCTGTAAATACATACATACACATAATTCATCATTAACAGTTTATCATAATCACACTTTTTCAATCAAAACACTATACACGCAACATCATATCATTTCTATATCTTTATCATACCACTAACTTATATTTGTTCATATCTCTGGATTAGCCCATGTACATATGTGAGAACTATCGATATGTGAGTCTATAGAAGTTGTGCACTAATGCTGTCACCACAGCTCGTATAATTGCACCGAAGTGCCGCGTAGAATTGCACCGTAGTGTCATATAATGATGTCCATAAGGACCACATAGAATTCCTTAAGAATCATATATATATACTAGGGATTTAGTATGTGTCTTTCCAGACTTCACACATATTCCAAAGAATAACATATGTCCCGAAGGACCGGTAGAATTGCACGGAGTGCCATATAATGATGTCCATAAGGACCACATAGAATTCTTAAGAATATACATATGCTAGGGATCATATATGTGTCATCAGACTTCACACATATTCCAAAAGAATATATATATCCCGAAGGACGCGCGTAGACCCTCGACTCTTGGCATGCCAACTATACCCCTAGCTCTCATGACACATAACATGGGCGTTATCATTTATTTCATTTCAAATATTCACAGAAACTTGTAATTCACTTTCACATATCACGTATCACATAGCTTCTTTTCATATGATCACATAGTCACATAGTTCACTTACACGTAGATCATTTCCATATAATTCACATGTCACATATGTCTGTTTTCATATAATTTCTATCATTTCTCACCAATCACCTTTATTCATGTAACATACTTATCATATCTTGTTCACATAAGATCATATACTTCATATAAATATATCGAAACACCTAGAACACTTTCACGTTAGTCATAAGTCTTATCTCATAACATATACTTGTTTCATATATATATTTCATATATCTTACCATCACATAATTCATTTAACATACATAACATATTATGTAATATTATAATAGAAATACCTATAAGTCATATCACTTAGAGCACATATATACTTATAGTCACATTGCTTATATCTTAATCTTAAGCCTTCTCTTAGATATATATATATTCACATGTTCAGGTAATCCACCATTCATCACATAATTATGTATTCATATAACATTTCATTTTTATCTATATATATATATATCTTCAAGATTTATCCTATATAAATCATATAGCACTCTTATAATTCCTATTCATATTCATCTAGGGCAGACTTATAAACACATCTCACTTCTATTATTTCTATATATATATATATATATATATATATATATATATATATATATATATATATACATAATCTAATCTGTTTACTTAATTCAATTTCATATAACTCCTATAATCTTCTCATATAGCTTCATAAATTTCTATCATACAACCCATGTGTTATAGTTTTATTTAAACATATAAATCTTTCCCATCTAGCTTATCTTATATGTTCATCTTTCATTTATGTTCAAATCTCCTAGTTAGTGTACTATTCTCACTTCATCCTATAGATCAATATTATCCAGCTTATTTCACTTATCATATAATAATATAATTATATTTACTATGATCACATAGTTTATATCAATAATTCATAACCTTTCTTATGTAATTACTTATACTTTATCATCTAACACATAAAAGAACAGATCAATCCATATAATCAAACATACATACATGCATATTCCACTCATGCCTTTAATCATGAATTCATGTGTAACACTTTAGGAAATAGACTCATCGCAGTCTTATTCCCATCGCACATTGTATACTATTGAATATGCACTCACCTGGCCTCACTAGTCAATTCCAATCTCTTATCTTTCCCTTGATCGATCTTACTTGTCAATGGTTCCGGAACTCGTTTAAGCTCTGAATCTACATAATTATATTTTAAGGCAATTGTTAGATACCTACACCTTGTAATTTGATACTAGCAACTTAAACGAACTTATTAAACCCATATTCCCAATTTTCCTTTAGGGGGAATCGGTTCCCCCTATGGGGGTATCGGTTCCCCCATGACATACTGAAAATTCTTGTTCGTTTGAAGGGGTATCGGTTCCCCTTGAATGGGTACCGATTCCCCTTGCCCAGAAATCATATTTTGAGCTCGAAAATCCTTCATTTTCAGCTCAACACATCATACTTCATTCCCTTTAATATTCCTAACTTTCATACACATACTTAAACTCATTTTCTACTCCATAATCACTTCTTTAAACTCAAAATTCTATCATTTACATGGCATTCAAGAATCACACTAAATTTCCAACATGTTCTAAAACCCATTCTATCACTTCATATCTCTTAATTTAACCATTGACAAGTCAAATTCAACTTCACAATCTATTATCTCCTTCCATATCAAAAATTCACTTAAAAACTCATTTTCTTAATTTCTCATAACTTGTTAATCTTTGAGGTTTAAGCCCCTAAAGCTTTCCTTAATCTTTCTTAATATCCCAAGAATCAAAACAAGCTTTAAAACGAAAGAATTAACCAACTAAAGACCCACTTACCTTATACCAGGCTTCACAGTTGAGAGGAGGAAGAAGAAGACTGAAGAATGCTCTGGACTCTTCTTCCTACGTGCTTATTACCCTTTATAAATGGAAATAAAAATCTTCCCTGAAAAATTACCATAGTACCCTTAATATTTCCAAACTTAATCATTAAATCCAACATCAACTTTCTTCAATTAAATCCATGAACTTTTAACTTATTTCGAAATCGAGCACCTAGTTTACAAAATTTGCAATTTAGTCACTAACCCTGATTTGGGATGTTACAGGGTCAGTCGGTGGTGCTGACGGCGTGTTCCCGGAAATAAAAGACGGGTCGTCGGATAGTAATTCGAGCACTATCTTGAACGAAGACAACAACAGCAACGGAGGTAGCGACGGCGGCAA